TTTTTTCTTTTCAGATTACTTTTGCTGCAACACACCGGTTGGGAGACTAACAGGGCTGAAATAGATTAGTCCGGCTGCTATTTGAGTCATTACGAAGCTGTTCAACTTGATCGGGCTGCTTTATGGACTCTACGAGGCTGTCCGGGCTGAAGCAAGACCGTTCGAGGGCTGTCCGGGCTGAACCGAGGTTGTCTAAGCGATGTCCGGCCTCCAAGAGGACTGTTCGGGCTTAAACGAATCACTTCGGGAGCTGTCCGGGATGAAACGGATCAGTTCGGGGCTGTTCGGGACCTATTCGGGCTGAAACAGATCGGTTCGGGACCTGTTCGAGCTGAACCGGATCGGTCCGGCACCTGTTTGGGCATTTACCGGGCTGAAACGGAGCGGTTCGGGGCTGCCCGGTCTTCCTTTATTTATGAAAGATGATTAATTTTTTTTTTTTTCACATATTGTAGGTACTTGTTCAACTTCCGAAACATCCGAAGCCCAACCATGGTGTGTTTTAAGGACCTTTCTTCCCCTTGCGGCATCCGACACTTGCAGATATTTGATGATGAGCACCGTCCTATAGATGAAGGCACGACTCTTGCGGTCTTTCCACCTCTTTTCGACGACCTCCCACCTATATGGCCAACAAGATTTACGAACTCCCTCCACCTTAAGGAATGGTGTCAAAAACTTCCATCCAACAAGAAGTCAACGACATGGGCATTGGAAGCGACTCATCACCATCATCAGCCGCTAGACAAACAACCGCCATTCTCCACCTTGGGCCATCTAATCATCAAAGGCGATGCCAAATGGAAAGGAGATCCCACGACATTCCTCGGCGAGTTCCACCACGTCAACGGCTATTGGGAATGGGCTGAAGATATTCTAAGCCGATGCAGGGACAGACTTCATTCCGCCAACATATACGACTCCGTCTATGCCTCGATGTTCACATACGATTGCAACTCCAACATCATCAAAGCGACATGCTAAGCCTGGTGCCCACAGACGAACACATTGTTGACTTCTCATGGCGAGTTATCTATTTCTTTGTGGGACCTGCACTCGATCGCCGGTCTTCCTATATCTGGGCTACCATATGATGAAGTTGTCCCTAGCACTGAAGAACTTAACCGCGTTGACAATGACGGCTTCAGATTTCTTCCCCGTTCGTGCAGCCATCTCCTACATGCTTTCCACCTTCTTCAACAGAACTCCCGCCATGGTCAATTCACTCAAGTCACCATCGAAAGTTGGATCAACTTTTGGTCAAAGAAGGCAAAGAAGTATAATGCCCCACCTCCGCGTGTAGAGAAGAAACCAGCTCGTCCGGATACTGAACATCCTAAGTCGACCCACAATCCACTCGGCGATATTGCTCAACACCAGGACTGGTCCCATGCAGAGAAGACTCCCTTTTTGAAGTTAGGCGTTAAACAAAATTTTCAAGACTCGACATATCTCGCGGCTTTCTTGGCATGTTGGCTTTCTCTTTTCGTCATTCCGAACGAGGACATCCACTCCATCCGTCCCAGCACTTTCAAGATGGCGAGTCTTATGGCGAATGGATCGAAGGTAGGTTTAGCCGT